AAATAAGAGTTTAGTTTTAATGGTGAGTTTGGGGGATATTTGTTCTCCTTTTCTTTAAATTTTCTAAGTGGTATTAAAAATTTTTTTTTCTTTATTGATTTTTAGAGAGAGAGGAAGAGAGAGGGAGAGAGATAGAAACATCGCCCAGAGAGAATGAGGACTGGCCGCCTCCTGCATGCCCCCCACTGGGGATTTGGCCCACAAGCCGGGAATGTGCCCTCACCAGGAATTGAACAGGCGACCTCTTGGTGCATGGGCTGATACTTTAATTTCATCATTTGAAAGTAAATTTGGCCCTGGCCGGTTTGGCTCAGCAGTTAGAGCATCCGCCTGCGGTCCGGAGAGGCCCGGGTTCGGTTCCCGCTAAGGGCATATACCTCGGTTGCAGTTTGTCCCCGGCCCTGGTTGGTCGTGCGGGTGGCAGCCACTCGATGTGTCCCTTTCACATCGATGTTTCCCTCTCTCTCTCTTCCTCTCTCTCCCTCCCACTCTGTCTGTACAAAAAATGGAAAAATGTCCTCAGATGAGGATTAAAAAAAAGAAAGTAAATTTGATTCTGAAATTAGAAAAGTGAAGATGGTTGCATACCTCCATGAATATACTAAAACACACAGAACCATACACTTTAAAATGGCAATGTTATGATGTGTACATTACACCTCAATAAAGTTATTTTTCTAAACTAAGATTTTTAAGGTCAAGCATTACATAGCAGGGGCAAGAAGTAAATGGGAACTCTTTACTTTATACTTAATTTTTCTGTGAACCTAAAACTGTTCTTTAAAAAAGTGTATTAAAAAAAAAACTACAGTTCATTCTTTGTTAATTTTCCATTAATTTTATGTTGAAAAGTCTGGAAGGCTGTAAAAGATACAGTGTGGAAACCTGTTCTCAACCCCTTGTTTTTGGCAACATTGTCTGAGGAGCAGTTGGAATTGGCTTCTTAAAGTATCAGTGACATGACTGTCAGCATATTCAAAACTTCTGGGTGACTTTTATCTTGGACCAACTTACAGACCCTGTGTAGAGTGATCTACATTCCCGCTCTGCTTATTAGGATCAACGGTGTTAATGTTGGGAGAGAAATATCTATTCCTTCTCTTTGTATTCTGGCTCTGCTCTGGGGTCCCAGCTGATAATTAATGAAAATTTCATTGTGTAGAACTATTTCATAGAAAAAATGTTCTAGGTTAATTAAAAACCCACAGAGAATAAATTAGCTCCATTTATCAGGGTGTAGTGTGATGGATGAGAGCACTCTGGGGGTTGGCTGTTCTCGCAGATCTTTCTATTTCAGTGCTAAACCAAAAAGAAAGGGAGAACTTGCAACAAATATTGCACCGAGGATGCTGGACAAGAAGCCAGAGCAATACAAAGATGCAAGTTAAACTGTTGCATTATAATGAATTTGGTTAATATAAATAAATGTAAATATAAATTTCTGAATGTTTTAAAGTTTCTTACTCTTTGAAAGGAAATAAAAAGAAAATCCATTTTTATTCCCAAATGAAGAATGGGAAAGGAAGGATATTACTGTGTCACGGTGGATCTGGTCTGTGGAAAGAGCCACTATCCTCAACTTAGGATCATAAAAGTTAGCAGTTGAGCCCTGGATGGTTTGGCTCAGTGGTTAGAGCATCGGCCTGTGGTCCAAAGAGACCCAGGTTCAGTTCCCACTAAGGGCGCGTACCTCGGTTGCAGTTTGGCCCTGGCCCTGGTTGGTCGTGCAGGTGGTAGCCACTCGATGTGTCCCTTTCACGTGGATGTTTCTCTCTCTCTCTCTCTCTCTCTCTCTCTCTCCCTCTCTCTCCCTCTCTTTCCCTCCCACTCTATCTGAACAAAAAATGTCCTCGAGTGAGGATGATAAAAAAAAAAAGCAGTTGAAATAAACTTTCAGTGATGTGAAATCTGCTCTTGGAAGCTCAGGGGAGAGAACACCTCTTTCTGGGAGGACACTTGAGAAGTGTCTAGGGAGTGAAGCCCAAATCACACGGATATTGTTAGACTTCAAAGGAAGGGCATGAAGGTCAGGGTCTCTCTAATCATGCCTGTTGCTCACACCTAAATGAACATATTGCTAAAAGCATGAAAAAGACCTAAATGACATTTGCCACAAAAATTCCGCATTCTACTTCCAGTTTGCTACCTTGAAAGCAGTGTCTTGGGCTATTTCTCCTTCAAGTGGCCGCTTTTCCCCATCATTTTCCCTTGACAGTGTAACTCAGGGGGAGCAGCTGAGACTGGAGACACTGTCTTTAGGGTTTGTGTCTCCTGCTACACATCAAGCTGTGGAGGCTGAGTCCCCCAAATGCTACTCTGCTCTGGAAAAGCTGGGGAGGAGCCCACCAAAACACAAACAAAAACCTAGAAGCTGATAAAATACAAGGAAATCCACTGGATGAATGAAAAACACAGGGAACTTCTGACTGAACCTAAGCAATCTATAGCTGCTCAGGTGATACTAACTTGGAATCACCAATCACCAGGACAGAAACTGGTACCCTAAGGTTAATACTCTGGTCTCCTTTTAAAGTATATTCTTTTTTCTATGCTATTTATTTGCCCCTTTGACTTTAAGGGCACTAGTTTTCTATTCTGCCTTTTTTTTTTTTTTTAAGTCATCATTGGGAAGAAACACTTTTTCTTTTCTACCCTATGGGCACTAAAAGAACACTGCTCAAAGGAAAACAATAGCTGTGAAGTAACGTTAGAGAACAGTGCTGCCTGGCCCGCTGTAAGTTACAAAACTCATCCGTAGACAACCAGAGCTCTGTTTATAAAGGTTTGATGTGTCTACTTCTTCCCAGGTACTAAGCAGTTCAGCTCCTCCTTCCCATCTCCATCCTCTTCCCCTTCCTTCCTTCCTTTCTTCCTTTCTCCCTCCCTCTCTCCCTCCCTTTCCCTTCTTTCTTTCCAATTTCCATTCTAAATACTCTCTCTTACCCCATTCAAGAAACAGACAGAAATTTGCTCTGTTACAGGAGAGTAGGAGTGAGATCGTTATGCGACTGTTTCTTCCCGATTAAATACTGGAGTCAACTTCCAATATGCAAGACCTATGCGAACAGAAGAAAGTGGCCAATGGGCTGCACGATTCTCATGTCTCAAAGAAATGACAGTTTAAAATATATGGCAGGGGTACTGCATATGGCAGTCTGTATACTTTTTTTTTCCCCAAACTCAAAATGAAATCTGGTTTATTTGGGGTTCAGATCAAAGAAACTTGAGGAATAACTCCTTCATACTCTCACATAACAACAAATAACTGTGCAGATGAATCACACAGCAAAGTAAATTTTTTATTTCCAATGAGGGAAGATAAGAAATAATATAGTCAAGGGAATCATCTAAACGATAAAATACATTTCTTAAAAAAAAATTCAACCTACAAAATAAGGAAATAAGACTTTGTAACTTCCCTAGAGAGGTAGTAAAAGCTTCAAGTATGAGTCACATAAATTACTCCGGGGCTGGGCTTTCATAAACACTGTAAAGCTTATTGGCCGAGGGTGTGTGCTGGTGAGCGGTGGGTAAGGGGGGAGAGGGAGAAGTTTACTGCAAGCAGAATGCAGACTGTTTTCCAAAGCTCTGTCACCCTAGTTTTGATATCTGCTTTCCAAGGGAGAAAAGTGCATACCATCCAAATAAGCTAATTTCAACCTACTATTTTTTTAGAGGAAGAGAAACTTCTCGCATCAAATAAAACAAACGCATGTAACACTCAGGAAACTAACCAGCAAGAATGAACTAGTGTACCCATATCTTTTTTTTAATCTCTGCCAAGAAAAGTGGGGTAGGCCAAGCGCTGGTAGTTTCCATGTAGCTCATCTGAAGAAAAACAATTGAAACGGGAGTTTAAAACCAAAGTGTTCTGATCAGTAGTAATAAAAATAGATGTATTTAGGGCTCGTTAAATGCATTCTATTATGATAATTCTCACTTATATGCTATTACTGAAGGATAGGGCTAACTATATGTTATCCCTATCAGTGTCAACATTTTATTTTTTATTGATTGATTTTTTTATCCTCACCTGAGGACATTTTTTTTTTGCATTTATCTTCAGATAGAGTGGGAGGAAGAGAGAAACATCGATGTGAGAGAGACACATCAAGTGGTTGCCACCTACACGAGCCCAACCGGGACCGGGGACAAACTGCAACCAAAGTACGTGCCCTTAGTGGGAACCGAACCCGGGACTCTCCAGTCTGCGGACCAGCGCTCTAACTGCTGAGCCAAACTGGCCAGGGCCAGTGTCAACATTTAAAAAAAAACAAGAGCATTTTAAGTAGAAATTTTTCTATAATAGATTATACAGAGACTAGAATCTTAGTTGCTCTTAATGTTTTAGGGCCGTCATTATGAAGCTTAGATGCATAAAGTGATATCTTGAGGAGAAACCGAAGTAGGATGGTCTGCCCCCATGAATGGCCCTTCTGCTGTGAAAAACGTCTGTACCTATTTAAAGTACTATTCTGGGGTGAGTGGGGGGCGTGGGAAGATCCAGGTGCTGGCCCATTTCAGAGGCCGTCCAGCCGCATATTTGTGCGCAGGCTCAGAACTCACCTGGCACGACCACCCCAGCCTTCCCCGCATCATCCACCCGTCCATCAAACAGAACAAAATAAAAGGAAAGTAATAAATAAATAAATATTCTGCCTCCTTTCGCAGTTTTCACTGTCACTTTCGAGGCCAGTGAGTCTGGTTCTCTGATTCCTTCCTTCTAATTCAGCACAGGCGTCCCGCGCTGTGGAACAGCAAACGGGAAAACCACGCAGGACGCGGTATTTGCAAAGAGTCTCTAAGTGCCCCGCGAAGCCTGAGAAGCTCCCCGAGGCAGAGGACGAATGACACCTGTTCGAGCTGCCTCCGCTGTGCCCAGACAGTGGAGGTTAACGGACAAGTTGTTTATGGTTAAATCGGGGGGTTTTTGTTCACGGAAAACAACGGAGAAAAGATGGCTTCTGTCTCTTTAACGTGCGACTCAGTTTGTACCGTACCTGAAGCATCAGCACTCAGAGCCTCATTATGGACATTCTGTGTAAGCTTAATTTCCTCCATGGCCATGGATCTGTTAAATGTTACTGAAATAAAAAAGCACAGCATGCAATCTATGAGCACAAAGCTTATGGAAATGGGGGTGATGTGCCCCACACTTAACACGATCAGTCCTGTCCTACATGTTCCACTTCGGTGAAAGAAAGCTCTTCATCTTGCAGCATGTCCGAGGCATGCAATCTGTCATAAAAATGAAAGAGATGGAGGAAACCCAAAGTGATACCTGTAATAAAACACTGAAATTATGATTACATTTCACAGTCTATAAAAACGGCCCATTCACCGAATTACAGTCTCCATCAAAACTGCTGACCCCTGCCCTGAGGAGAAATTGACTGTATTCTTCGTACCTAGAAAGGAAAGGCAGGATTAGTTCAGGGACACTTTCTTTTTTAGTATTAATACAGTCGATGTTTATACTGGATGAAACGATGTAATTCCCAAACTATGCATAAGAAAAATACATCTTGCCAAATTGACAACCCTCTCGCATCTCATCCCTTTTGTTTCAAAATGCTAAAATCCGACGATCTGTATTCTGTTATTGCAATATAATTTTTTATAATATTTTTGATAGCATTATAGGTTTATATTATCATCGTAATTCTTTTCTTCCTGCATTACTTTCCAAGTCATTCAAAATCTTGTTCAGATGTTCATTCTCACAGAGATTGTTCATCAGAGAAAAATACCCCGCACTGACAAATTAAAGCAAAGATAATGTTTGAAACATTTAAATTATATAAGATCGATTTTTATCCTCCTGCTTTGCCAGGTATAACACATGTCCATTTTAAGTTCTGTTTCTTTAGAAAAATTAAATTCCTTGTGCTTTTCTAGCTTATGCCCACAGGTTCCGCTGGCATCCGTCTTCCTACTTGGTATAAATAATCATCTAAATTGTCTTAATACCACAATGTCATATTTTAACCATTCTTATACTTTTTCAAGTACATTTTTAAAGCATTCATTTCTCTGCATTTCTCTAAATATTTGATCTTTGTAATGTGTGTACTTTTATCAGCTACACAATTTGCCAGGAAGTATTTGTGCATCTTTTTCTACATTTACAGTGATACCTTGGTTCTCGAACATAATTCGTTCCAGGAGGACGGTCGAGAACCGAATTGTTCGAGAACCGAAGCAGTGAAACCAATAGGAAAGCGTGACTCCACAAAGCGTGACTCTCTCTCTGCACTCACACTGATGACGCGAGCAAGGCGCGCTGGGCCGAATGAACGCCATTCGGCTCAACTCGGCTCATCTCGGAAGTTCGAGTTCCAAATATTTGTTCGGATTCCGAGACAAAAGTTTCTCGAATCTCCTGGTCGAATACCGATTTGGTCGAAAACCGAGGCGTTCGAGAACCGAGGTATCACTGTATAGCCATGGGTTGAATACGCTCCCCTCTGTGCCTTGAAACGCCCATACCCCAGCACACTGGCTGTGTAAAGCAACCTGTGTATCCCCCTTACTTCTGCATCATAGTATGAAAGTATTTCCTTAAACTCAAAATATCCTTTTCATGACCCGTTTCTTTCCAACGTCCATCTTATTCTTGGAATCACCACCACTCGTGAAAATCTCAAATTGAAAGATGAATATGAATACTTTTTTTATACATTTTATCACCATTACAACAAACTCTCTTCCTTTAAATTTATTTAATTTTTGAATTTATTTAATTATTGAATGTATTGCTATGACAATTAACACCATCTCAACACAAATGTCATCTCTCCATTTAGACTTGGCCAGATCTATCCAGGACTGGTTCAAATCACTGGAGGAGGTCAATCAGCTTTCAGAGAACTATCCTTTTTTCCCATGTTTTCACTTTAAAATATTGTATTTTAAATACAATTTAAATGTATGTAAAATATTTTATTGATTTTTTAGAGAGAGGAAGGGAGAAAGATAGAAACATTGATGCGAGAGAGAAACATAGATCGGCTGCCTCCTGCATGCCCCCTACTGGGGATGGAGCCTGAAACCTGGGCATGTGCCCTGACCAGGACGGAATTCAACCGGGACCTCTCAGTCCATGGGACAATGCTCAATCCACCGAGACACACGGGCCGGGCTCACTTTTCATTTTGAAACATAAGCTATAATATTAATGGATCCTTGCTCAATTTTGATTCCTTTTATGTATCTTTTAGCTGCTTCCTTTGCTTAATTACTCTATTAGTGGTAACCTGAATTTCCATTATCACTGAAGAACTGGAGATTTTGAAGCTTCACTACTCTTTTTTAAAATTTGTTACACTGCCACATTGCTGTGAATGTCACAACCGCACTCTTGAATGCAATTTCCGGGCCTGGCTTACCAATGTCCTTTATTAGATTGGCCTGAAGTCAGTTACGTGTTTTCTAATAGGATCTATTGCCACTGTATTTTGCAAAGCATTGCCTATGAAACTGTCCTTGTTTAATTTACCCATCTGACCATGAAATTGTTAGCAAAGAGTTGGGAAAATATATTAATAGAGTTCACAATATATGGGAATGTGCTTCTAATCATTTTATGCCTATCAACACTGATTTTTACAGTGTTCATATTGGTATGTTTTCTCATTTAATCCAAGTTATCAACTACTTACTGAGCGCCCATTAAATCCACAATATTAAACTACTCAAATTGGGAATAAAAAAAAGGTATAAATCATAATCTGTCCTCAGCAAATTTATAATCTCAACAGAGGCAGGACAGAGGATGCTCTAGTACTAGAATATGAAGTAACAGAAATTCTTCTTCCTAACCTTCTACATAAAGCATACTAGCCTATAAACATTCTTGATTTAGTATTTGTCAGTCTGATTATTTGCAAATGATCCCCTGAGATGATGTATGCAACGGCGGGCAAACAAGAAGTAGCAATTTGCAATTTAGTTGAAGAACGATTCTCATTACTTAACATCAACATCTGAATCTCAATATACTTTTGATGCTCTCTACTCATACTGCATATGATGTTTTGGTGGGAAATAATATGATGTAGTGAAATGAACACTTTGGAAAAGAAGAAACATTTCAAGACGTGTCCTTTGAAAATCTCAATAGCCTACTTCATATCACACTTTTTATTTTTCTTTTCTGTTACACCCCTTCTCCCGTCACTTTCTTTCAAATAATTTCCTCCAAATGAATCAGTGCTGTGATGTGCAGGAAGGGACTACCTCTGCAATCATTTCACTTGCTGTTCAACAAACATGATGGCAACAAGCCAAACTATGTGCTAGGGCTGGGGACTCTGAGATTAATCAGATGCTGTCCCTGCCCTGGAGGAACTCAGTTTTATGAGACACTGTTGTCTGCATCTACTGAAGGGAGGCTGATATTAATAAATCTTATACCACTCCCCTCTAGTCTCTGATACCGTAATTCTATGTGGAATTTTAAAGATCTTCTTTTTTTAAAATATGTTTTTATTGATTTTTTTTTTTTTTTTTTAGAGAAAAAGAAATATCGATGTGAGAGAGAACATCGATCAGCTGCCTCTTGCACACCCCACACTGGGGATAGAGCCCAAAACCCAGGCATGTGCCCTGACCAGGAATCGAACCGGGACCTCTCAGTCCACGGGATGATGCTCAAACCACTGAGCCACACCAGCCGGGCTCAAGGATCTATTATGCTTATATTTTGCAAGATAAAGTTCACCATTTCTGAGACTGAGATAAAGCCTCACTCTACTTATTTGAAATCAAATATCTTCCTTAGATTACTTGGTTTCCTCTGCATAGGACAATATTTTTGTTTTCTATTTTTCCTAAAGCCTTTTAAAATATGACATGTTAGATTTTAAAACATTTTTCTCTTTCTGTTCATTTCTCTAGTCTTCCTCACAGTCAACCTCTCCCCACAAGTTTCACATTATTATCCTCCTCATCTACTCTGTTTCTATGTCACACTTGTCTCGTGCCCCCGGCACACTCCGTGCTGGAGAAGGTTGCTGAAGTCTGTGGGCCAGTGGGCAGACATGGCTAAAAGTAAGACTGCCAGCACCGGACACCTTCTTGAACAAAGAACACAAACTCGTTACAATATGATCAGTTTTGCTCTTCTTTCAATGTATAATGGGCTCGCATCTATATTGCCTTTATTTATTTATTTATTTATTTATTTATTTATTTATTTATTTATTTATTTATTTTATCCTCACCCAAGGACATTTTCCATTTTTTGTTCAGATAGAGTGGGAGGGAGAGAGAGGAAGAGAGAGAGAGAGAAACATCGACATGAAAGGGACACATCGAGTGGCTGCCACCCACACAACCCAACCAGGGCCGGGGACAAACTGCAACCGAGGTACGTGCCCTTAGCGGGAACCGAACCCGGGTCTCTCTGGACTGCAGGCTGACGCTCTAACTGCTGAGCCAAACCGGCCAGGGCTCTATATTGCCTTTAAAGGTCTTGAAACAATCTGACAGGAAAAAAGAAACACCTCCTGGGCGTTTCTGTCACGCGATTTGTCCGATGTAGTGTGAAAACAGGGACATACACCTGGGGTGGTGAGACGAGAGGTTACGCAGCCTCGTGTGCAGGAAGGCCGTTAGTGATCGTTCCTGTTAGGGTCGCCGAGGTGACTATAAAGCAGCTTCTAGCCCTGGCCAGTTTGGCTCAGCCGTTAGAGCGTCGGCCTGCGGTCTGGAGAGACCCGGGTTCGGTTCCCGCTAAGGGCACGTACTTCGGTTGCAGTTTGTCCCCGGTCCTGGTTGGTCGTGTGGGAGGCAGCCACTCGATGTGTCCCTTCACGTCAATGTTTCTCTCTCTCTCTCCCTTCCACTCTATCTGTACAAAAAATGGAAAAATATCCTCGGGTGAGGATAAAAAATAAATAAATAAAGCAGCTTCCAGTTATATATGAGATGTGAATTTGTTATGCATCACAACTTAGAACTATTTGTCCGTAGAAGAAATGTTATAAAAGTGGTGGTGGTGGTGCTCCACCCAGATAACCACCGAGGAATGAAGGGCTTCTTTCTCTAACTGCTGAGGAGCACACGTCCTGGGGTAGGTAGATACTGGTCCCCACTGCTGGCCACTTTCTGATCCCTTGAAACTGTGACTATGTTACCTTCCACGGCAAAGGGACTTTGCAGATTCGATTAAGAATGTTGAGAAGGGAAGATGATCCTGGATGTCCCAGGCAGACCCAATCTAGTCACAGCCATCCTTTTAAAAGGGAGGCAAGAATGTCAGGAGTCACCGGAGGAGGTGACAGAAGCAGAGGTCAGAGAGCGAGATTAGGAAATGCTGTACTGCTGGCTTTGAAGATGGAGGAAGGGGCCACAAGCCAAGGAGAGCAATGGCCTCCAGAAGCTAGAGAGGGCAAGAGAGGGCTCTTGCCTCCAGTGTCTAGAAGGAACCCAGCCTCTGACTCATTTTAGACTTCCACCTCCAGAACTGTAAGATAATAAACTTGTGTTGTTTTGAGCAACCAACTGGATGATAATTTGTTATAGCAGCAAACAGGAAACTAATACACAGCCTGAGAAAAATTATCCAGGTTTCTGTGGTCAAATAGAAGCACTATTCACTATATCTCCTTCTCGATGCCTACCGTTTGGGAAGCCCTGTAGTAAAGAATCCTGTTTAACTTTTTAAAAACCAGACCACTGACATTTTAAGGACTATCTTTGAACAGTCCTCAGAATGACTGTTCACAGACCCGACTCTGGAAAACAGTGGTTCCAAGATTCGTTATGGATGTTAGAGAATGAATTACAAAAGAGCTGGAATGTGCTTTTGTCCTTTGCGAACAACCAGGCTATTGATGGGAAGGGGCAGGGACAGCGAGAGGAGAGGAAGGGTGTTCTGAAAGAGGGGCAGCAGGTGAGCCCTTACCCATTACGACAGGCACTGCCCAATTTGAGAACTAAGCTGTTCCTCCACGAGGACAGTAAGACAAGCCTCGGTAAGCCACGTCCTTATCTGTGATCCTCAGAATTCTAAATTGGGGTTCCAGCACTAGAAAAGAATTAAGTCCCACAGAAACACCAATCTCCATTGCAAATAAAAGCAAAATAATACACAGATACTTTTGAAATTTGTAAGTATAGAACCAAACACTTAATATAAAACTTAAGTTCAGTCTTAAATGCTCCTTTTGGGGGTATTTTTCTCCATGGCATGGACTTCTAAGGTTTCTTAAATATGTGTCCAATGAGGTTTAGACTGAAGATGTGTTTTTCCTTTTCCTGGTGAACCTTCCAGTGGTAAGTATAGCTTTCTTCATTATTCCTTAGACCTCTGAACTTCAGTTCAGAAATAGAGCCATTTATTTATATATTTTTCAAAAAAAAACTTTGTGTTTCTTTTTCTTTTTCCACCACTTTTTATCGATTTCAGAAAGTTTCCATGCCAATTCTGTGTGCATGGATGTAACCAAAAGACTGCTTTCACAGTAGAGCAAACGGTGCAGGAGCTGTGCTGACCTCCGCCTCCCTTTGGTGTCAACGTGAGTCTCCTTGGGAGCAGAAACCGTCTCCCTGTTGGTTCTCCGTGAGCCTAGAGCCGGAGCAGAGCCTCCCCTGTGCCGGTGGTCGCCTGCTGAGATGGCGAACGGTCCTGGAGGCTGCTGGGACCTAGGCGGGCCCCCAGCACGTGCCACTTCACACGTGGATCGTTTCTGGAGGAAGACAACCAGGCCCAGCACACTCAGGAAGGCTTTTGACCTTCCCCATAACTGCTTACAAGGACTGAGACAGGGGGCCTGTGCCAGGAAGAGAGCTGTTAGCAGAGAAAACTTATATCAGGAAGATTTGTCTGCATGGCAGGGCAAACATTTGTTTACCAAACCTCTGCTCTTCCCATCGTCCTGAGAACATTCTCCTCCCTTCGAAGCCCCAGACCCCAACTCTCTTCTCCTGAGCCGCGGGTGGGGAGCCTATCAGCCTGCGCTCTCCGACTGTCCGCGAGCCTTCCATGTGTCCCTGGGGCTCCGGGATGTATAAAACTAAATGTGTTTTTCTTCTGTTAATCTGTTTTATGTCCGTTTAATTATTAGGCCAGCCCAAGACTCTAGAAGGGAGAAAGGAAAAAGAATTCCTCCTCTCCAAAGCGATGGCTCCACTTCAGCCAACTAAGAAAAGGAAATAATTTTTTTCTCTTTATTTCAGGGAGGAAAAGGAAGACTGGACTAGGTGGCACTTTAGGGGTAAAGAATTCAACAGAATTTGAATTAGCCCTTAGCAGGAGCAAGGCTGTGCCTTCCTGGAAGACATGCCTATACTGTCCCCAGGCTTGACCCAAAGCTACTGGGAATCAAGCGGTTATTTCCTGAAGTTTCATTAAAGAAAGAAAGGGCAGGATTTAGAGGATCAAAGGGCCCCTCCCAGAAAAAACATTCACATAGGTGTGACCTCGAGATTGTATGCCACCCCCTCCCCTTGCTTGTCTGGCAAACACCTTCTCATCTTTCGAGACAGCTCAAGTGACACCTCGGGAGGCCGCTGGCTCCCTTGGCAGTTGCTTACTCTGCCCTTTGTGTTTCCCAGGCACTCTGTGTAAAACTCTCTCAAATATCACTAATCACATTTTATCCGGTTATCTGTTTACACATCTGAATTCAATTCAATAACGTTCTGCTAGGGCAAGGCCAGATCCCAGGGCTCAAGGCAGGAAGGACTCCGGCCTGCAGAAGCTACTTCCTGCGGGGGGGACAGACAAGTGCACACCCACAGGTCCCTGTAACAGCAGGAGAACACAATGCAGTGGACAGAGAACAGGATGGCAGGGTCTTCATGCATATCCTTAACCCTTCGCAAGGTGCCTCCATGCATGCTAATGAACAGAGGGAGAGATGAAGAGAGGGAAGGAGGGAGGGAGGGAGAGAGAGGAAAGGAATCAACAAAAATGTTCCCCCCAATCTTCTTCACTCTGCTATATGATGTCAAACCCATTCACTACCCTAAAAGTGCTATTTTCAGCTTCTGGAAGAGGTATTTTGGAGGAGATAGTTGATGATTAAGTCACACCTGGCACATAGTACAGTACCTGATAATCACCATTTAAAGGAGACGAGCCATAATTTGCCCTGTATTTAACTGTCATCCCACAGTGCATGTTAAAACATTCCCAGGGGTCTAAGGAGACTCACAGAGGCCGGCTGGCTGGCTGAAACCACTAACACTGCACCGCTTTAATTCTTGGGTTTTGCCGTATTATTAGACCAGCAGGCTCTTTTGCTCCTGCAAAAGGATTTAGCTAGAATTTTGGTCCGCTCAGAACCTTGTCTGCCATCCAGTTCCTTGTTTCTCTGCCAGCTTCATCTGTGCAACTCATCTCGGGTTACGTCTGGCAGAGGGGAGAGGAATCTCCTTTCAAGTCGCTGCTGTCTGCGTCCCGGGGCCCTCCCCGAGAAGCCTCTGTTTCACCGGGGAGAGAGGGGGGACGATCGGCCTCCCTAAGAGATGAGAGCGTAAAGTATTTCTCAAATTTTCATCTTCAATGGTTGGTATCATTTAACTCCCTGGGGGGGAGACAAAGCTTTGTTGCTTCGGCTAGCAATATAATCTCTAGCTATCCCAACGCCAAAATATCAATTACAAGTTCATTTGGATGATGGGATAAACCGGTGTTCAGACCACTAGACAATGACATAAATTGGAGGTGGGGGAGAAGGCGCTGGAGGAGGCTGAATCTCAGGATACAAATGAAACCAGGTAAAATGGAATTCTTCATGTCCTTGCGTAGTAAGTAACTCAATTCTAAACTATTTGTCTCATAAAGAGAAACCCACCAGCAACAAACCTGAAGAAGGTATTCCTGAAGGTTTTCTTCTTGGAGGTTCTAATTGGAGAGAAGTTATCACTCCCTCAGCACCCAGTTCTCCCTGAGTAACCAGAAGGGGAGACTGGAAACATAAATGACTCAGAGTTACAAGTAAATGTCTCACCAAACACAGGGAGTCAGACAGTATTTGATCCCACTTACATGCAATAGCTAGAACAGGCAAATCCACAGAGACAGAAAGCAGATTGGTGGTTGCCAGGGTCGTTGAGGGGAAGGAGAATTGGGGAGTAAATGCTTAACAGGTACGGTGTTTTACTCTGGGGGTGATAAAAATGTTTTGGGACAAGACAGGGGTGGTGCAACATTATGAATGTACTAAATGCTGATGAATTGCTCAAGTTTAAATGGTTACTTTCTTGTTATGTGAGTTTCACCTGAACAAAAAAGAATTAGTAAATATTTTAAAACAAAATGTTTTCTAACTAAAGGCCTCACTATTTCTCATGGCTCAACCATCTACCACGATTGGGAAATAAGGAGGATGTTATTCCTATTCCACAGTGATAAGAGAGAGTAGATAGATTTCTAAATTTTAATATTTGTCACCTTTGGCCTTTCCTGTGAAAAGCCTCGTATTTCCTCAGAATGTCTGTAGCTGGGAAGTAATTCAGCCGGTGACCCCCTGACTTGCCTGCTGTTCACAATCGGCGGCGGCAGCAGCAGCGACTGTCATGTGCAGTGGCCAAGGGCCGGCTAGATCATCAAAAGTCGATGGGGCGCACCTGTTTACTAGACGGCCTCCCCTCCCCCGCAGACCCTTGGGATCTAGCTGTGTTCTGGGGCATCAGACGACGACTGGAGGTCTTTTACTTCAGTAGAAAAATAGAAAGACCTTGCTCTTTTCACACACTTTCGGGATAAAAGAAAAACCAATTTCAACAAAGAGTAGAAGCATCTTTGGAAGAGAGGCAGCTTTTCCCCTTCCTTTTGATACTGAGAAGAACATGTGCATTGACATCCAGGCCCAAAGCCATCAGCCTGTTAAGTGGAAAGAGAAGCCCAAGAACTTAAGGGAACAAAAACACACTGAGAACAGAGATAAAAAGGAGGGAGCTTGAAAAGAAACTGTAAAACTATGAACGACAAAAAATAGCTAACAACCACGTCCGGGAAAAGCTGGTAGGGGCTGCCTAGCTTTACCCAACTCCTCCCCCTCTAATCCCACACTTACAGGCAGAGCCATGGACACACAGGCCTCCCGCACCCTCACCCAACTTTCGGAACCATTCAGTTTGCCCTCCACACCACCTCTTCACAGAGCTCCGATCTTTCCAGTTTTCCAACCATGGCTCTGTCCCCTCTCCCAGACTCGGGGCTTGGTTTTAAGCATTTGCTTTCCTTGACCGAGATTCTGACATTGCTCTGGGACTGCAGCCTTCGGTGGCTCTCAGCCTGCCTGGCCCGGGGATGCCACGCGTGACTGCGACTCGTGGAGAAGTGTGCCCTGTGTGTTCGTGTGTCTTCCTTTTCTCGGGTGCATTCCTCCAGCCTAAGCCTAAAATGAGGCTGTCGTGTTGGTTTCAGGCTCATAAATGGCTAGACAACTTTCATGTTAAGAAGGAAATGTTAAGATGTATTCAATGCTTTCAAAATCCATTTCTACTGCTGTGTTCCAACAGACTCAGAGGGCCATATTTTTCCCCCCTATGTTGTGGGAGAGAAAACATGTGGTCTTGTCACAGAATGTTCATACACCACAGACACCGCAGTATTACTTTTCTGGAAAAATTCCTACAGGATGGGGAAAAGCATCTGTTTCCTATGTTTGCCATGCTATGGAAGGCCACACAAAATGGGGAGTGGGTTACGGAAGGGGCGTCTCTTCCCTTCTGATGAGAATGCTGAAATAGAGCATCCGTGTTGAGCTATGTTGGATTAGACTGCATGACATGCATGGGGACTGCGACGCTGACTGTGTGCAGTTCCTGTCCTGAGCCACGGCAATCCATTGTCCCCTGATCCTCATGTCCCAGCCACAGTGGCACAGGAGCGGCATAACATTACATGGCCTGGCCCTTCTGCCCGGTGACTGACCTTGGGAATGCCATCTGAGCCTTCTGAGCCTGTGTCTCCACTCGTGAGATGGAAATAGCGATGCTTATTGTTTACTATTTAAGTGTCTGTTATAGGCTGAGTTGTGCCCCCGCCTCCCAAAGACATACTGAAGTCCTAACCCCAGTACCCACACGGTTGTTGCAGATGGAACAGTTAAAGTGAGGTCAGACTGAGGTAGGGTGGGCCCTTAATCCAACACGTCTGGTATCTCCAAGAGGGAAGAAGGCCATGGGACATGGACCCTCAGGGAGGATGCCCTGTGACAAGAGGGGCAGACACGCGTGATACAGCTGCTAACCAAGGGTGCCGAGGACTGACGGCACCAGCGGATGCCAGGGTGAGGCATGGAGACCCTCCCTGCACATCTCAGAGGAGTGTGCCCCACCTGGACTCGGGGCGTCAAGCCTGCGGAGCTGTGACACATCCATTTCTGTTGGCCGAGCCCCAAGCTGAGGTCCTTCACCGCAGCAGCCACCAGCCACTGCTGCAGCGGTCGTTCCGGAATTTACTTAGTGTGTGTGCTCGTGTGTTTTAATTGTAGAGGAAACACGCCAAGAAGAAACCAGGTAGACAAAAAGAAATCAAGGTAACTTTTCTTACGTATCTAAAACGGGGAAATGACATTATTTCCTCGAGAGCCAGTACTGCCTCTCCAAACTCATCTCCTCATACTTTCCTTCTCATGCACCCGCTCCAGAGCCCCGGCTCTGTCTGCGCCTCAATGCCCCACCTGCCCCTTCCTCAGGGCCTCTGCGCCAGCTTCTTCTGCCAGGAATGGCCAGGGCTCTCCCCTGGCCTCCTGTCTTTCGTCCCTCAATGAGGCCAGCCCTGGCCACTCCTCTGAAAACTGCAGCTTGTACTCCCGCCCCACCCCACACTCCCAAATCCTCTTACTCAGCTCGACTTTCTCTTTTTCCCCCGTCCTTACTGGCTTCTTATTTTAGTAATTAGCTTATGTCTCTAGTACATGCACTGTTTATCGCCTGTCTCCCTCCCAGCTAGAACATACGCTGCATGAGGGACAGGATCCAGAACGGTACCGCGGCCATCCCACGTGCTCAACAAGGGTCTTAAAACCCACTCTTTATTTGTAATTAACCAGTGCTTGCCACAACAACACAGGCAGTTCTTTCCTTTCCTCTGATCCTGTCTCTTACTTCTGTCCTTTGCTCTCACTTCCAAAAGGAGGCAGCAGATTATCTGAGGCCCGAAAAATGATATGATGTTGTTCTGGGTGGGGTGGGGGTGGGGGGTGGGGGGACAAGTTCCCAGATTCACAGGACCTAGCTCCATCGTCCAAACTCACCCCAGGACACAGGACACTAACTATTCCACAGGACTTATAACAGCAGGAGAACAGTCAAAATGATAATTACATGTTTATACTACTCTCTCCCATTTGCAAAACATTTTCATGTGAAATTTTCCTTTATAGAAGAAAGAACTGGGGCTCAGAGAATTTAATTAACTTGTCCAAGTGTACTCAGCTGGTAGGAGGAGGGCTGGGAACTAAATCTAGAACTAGAGAACCATCAGTGACAAGGATCTCTGAACTTGTACTAAGTGAAATGTGCACTATCCACTTCCAGAGTCCCGCTCACAATGAAGGGAACGCTCTTTGGTATGTTCTCCATAAGCTGCTACCCTCCCTTCTCCATCCTCCAAACACAGGACTTACCTGCTTTAATAGCCACACACGTCCTTCCCTGGTTGGGTAGCTCTCCACCAAAACGTCCTTCTTGTTAAAAGGAGAATCCACCTTCAGGGTAAGTGCGCCAGAAAACAAGGAGCATTTCGAGAAAGCCTGGGAATCACTGCCCCTGTGAACTGTCCAGAGAAAAACAAAACGTCAAGAGATTTACATCTTCAATCCTCTCTGGAAATGCCTTCAAAATGAATCTCTTTTCCATTCCTTGGCAAAGACCAGCACAAAAGAGTTTTGCTGAGATTTGCAATTAAATAAATTTGCATTCCTTGGCCTAAGTTTATCGTAAGGCTTTAATAACATTTATTATAAACTGTTTCACTTTCGAAGGGGCTGAGAGCATCATGTCCATGAATACTGAGCTCCAATCTTCATACATGGAGAAGTCTCACACATATTCTTCATGGCAGCTTAGCTAAGATTCAAGGAACTCGCGGACACTCCGGCAGGAGAGAAGGTGGTAATCATTCGATTATTTCTTCCTCCAGAGATATCGAAGGCATCTTCTCATTCAGATATCAATCACAGAGGCAACTAGGTTAACGGGCTCCCTCTGGGTAGGGTATGCACAATTCCCTCCAAACATGCCGGAATGAAAACTGGGACATCAGGACTGGAGATTTATCGGCAATGGAGGTCAAAATGTCCGGGCAACAACCCCAGAATCAGATATGCCCTTTGCAAAGCCCAGGAAAAGAAGACACTTTTCTGGGGCAATGATGCAGGAAAAAATTACTTCTGATGTGGGGATGACAATGGTTGTCTGGCCCCGTGGGGAAATCACTGTGTGGGTTTAGAGAAGGGGTCCCAGTTCTAGCCTTGAGGGACTAGCTTCTATCAACCCTTCCCACTGAATACGACGAGAATAGCTGGATAAACGTTATTTTAAAGACACAGGAGTGCTATCAAGGCAGCCAGGACACAAGAGACCAAGACCTTAGGGAGAAGAGAAAGAAAACTGAGGCAACTCATGGAACCACTTTTCTTCTGAAGACACCTGCTGGGCTTTCAGAGGCGGGGGGGGGGGGGGGGGGAGGCAGGACTGCTGAGGGGCAGCTGCTCAGCGGCACAGGGAGTGACCGGCCTCTGGCAGACGAGGGAAATCCCAGAGAGAGGGGACACGGAGAGAAGGGCATCCTGCCTCTCCAAGCATCTGCTGGTTGATAAATGAGGCAAACCAAGCAGAAAGCAGCGCCAAGCGGCTGGGGAAGTAAACAGAGCTTCTGACAGTTTCATGATGTTAGAGGAATTAATATTAGAGCTCAGGGCCCACCAAAGAAAGGAAAAGTCCAGGTAAATATCCCCTGCTTTGCGTTGGGACCCCTGAAGGGCTCCTCCTACCATGAAAGCCTACAATAATACCAGAACTGAGCCTCGAATCGGCCCCTCATCAGATCAAGGCAGCCTGCCCTACCCGGACTGCCGATCAGAAGCAAAAGCAGCCTCTGGAGAAAGACGCCGTCCTCTACGGTGTTTCCGCTTCTTTATACAACATGTCTGCATTCAATCAACAGTTGCCAGGTATACCAGGGCACGGGTTCAAGAAAGGAAGAGACAATAAAAACAGACCCAGATGTGACCCAAATAGAGTCACAGGATATGGTCCTTAAAATAACTATAATTAAGCCCGGCTGGTGTGGCTCAGTGGTTGAACGTTGACCGTGCACCAAGAGGTCGCCGCCGGCTCGATTCCAGGTCAGGGCACATGCCCAGGTTGTGGGCCAGATCCCCAGTGGGGGGCATGCAGGAGGCGGCCAATCGATGTTCTCTCCCATTGATGTTTCTATCTCTCTCTCCCTCTCCCTCTAAAATCAATAAAGAAAAAAAAACATTAAAACATAACTATAATTAATATGCTCAAAATTATAAATATTGTAAAATATTTTAACTCACAGAACAAGCCAAAAAAAATTAAGTAAGGATACAGAAGATTTGAACAACACAATTAACAAACTCAGCTGTAGCAATCGTAGTAATGGTGACTATATATTCTTTTAAGGTACATATGAAACATTGACAGAAATTAACTGCACATGGGTCATAAAGTACATTCCCAGATATTTAAACAAATAAAAATTATAGTGTATATTTTTTATCTTATGATTTAAAAATAATGTTGATTCACAGGAAATTGCAAAAATAGTATCATGCATTTAATTGAGGGAAAATTTACCTACTGCAAAATATATTAATGCACTTAAGTGTATAATTTGATACTTTATTTTTTTTGTTAATCCTCACCTGAGGATAATTTTTCCATTGATTTTTAGAGAGAGTGGAAGGGAGGGAGACAAGGAGAGAGAAAGAGAGAGACGAACATCAATGTTGAAGAGGTACATCGATTGGTTGCCTCCCACATGTGCCCTGATTGGGTCAGGGGACTGAACCTGCAACCCAGGTATGTGCCATTGACTGGGAATTGAACCCATGACCTTTCAGTGCATAGGCCAGTGCTCTAACCACTGAACACACCAGCCAGGGTCAATTTGACACTTTAAAATAAAATTTTTTTTCTTTATTGATTTGAGAGAGAGAGAGAGGAAGGGAGAGGGAGGGAGAGAAACATTGACGAGAGAGAACATCGACTGGCCGCCTCTTGTATGCCCCCCACTGAGTATTTGGCCCACAACCTGGGCATGTGCCCTGACCAGGAATCAAACTGGCGACCTCTTGGTGCATAGGTTGACACTCAACCACTGAGCCATACAGTCGGGCAATTTGATACATTTTGATAAAGAAATCCAACTGTGTAACTGTCAACAAAATAAAAATATAGAGCATTTCCATCACTCCAGAAAGTTCCCTCATGCTTCCTTTAGCCAATCCCCATATCTCAAAGACAACCACCATCCTCATTTCTATTACCATAGGTTAATTTTGCCTGTTACCGAGCTTCATACAAATGGACTCACACAGTGTCTGGCTTTACTTAGCGTGTCTCTGAGATTCACCTACACTATTCAGTGTATCAGTAGTTTACTTCTCTTTATTCCTGCGCAATAAATAGTCCATTGTATGAAAATACCACAACTTATTATATATTCTGTGGATGGAAACTTGGTTGTTTCCAGTTTGGACTATTATAAATAAAGCTACTATAAATATTCTTATACAAGTCTACTTGTGAACATCCATTTTTATTCCTCTTGGGTAAATACTGAGGAGCGAAACCGCTAGGTTACAGGACTGATTAACACTTAAGCCAAACGTTTTCCCACAATGTATGTGTGGCTGCCTCTGGAGTTCAGTACTGAGTTACATGCTGCAGTTAACATGAGGACCACTGTCTGAATGACCACCGTCTCTCCAGGGGCCATCGCTTTCCCCCTGTGCTCACTGGGAAGAGAGTCCTGGGCACAGAAGCCAGAGCAAGGCCACTCCAGAACTCGGAAGACGACCCGCTCTGAGCTCTGTCCCACAGCAAGGCTCGGAGGGGCTGCTGTCACCGGTGGCCCTGTCCCAGTAACAGCCGAGAGGACATGTAACCACGGCCGACTTTTCATTTTTCAGAAGTGTCCATTACAGAGTCAGTCATTCTTTAATAAACACTTTTCAAGCAATAAATAAGTAAAGTGTGGCAGGCATTGATTTTTTAGGGTTATAAATAAATTTAGCCAGCAGGCAAACTGGCGAATATAGAATCTGAGAATAATGAGAGTTGACCGTGTGCCAGGTTTTCCTCTTGTAAGTTTCTTCCCATTTAGACAAAAGAGGCCTGGTGAAGCCCCAAGTAAGTTTCATGACTCCCAGCAGGTCTGAGCTCAACTGAAGGAGCGTTGTGGGAGCTCACTCACTGCGGAGGTAGCAGCTTACAACTGGTCCCATGTGGAACACTTGGGTTTGGAGCCCTCACCCTATCCCTACTCAGGTCCTATTCATTTCGTATCCTCAGGGGGAACTTCACAGAACGCTGGAAATGTTAACCATTTGTCTATAGTTCAAGAATGACTATATCTGGGTGCTTATTTCAGATACAAGAACAAAATCAGCAGTAATGGGCCAACTATGTTTGGGACTGTACTCTGGAGACTGACGGGAAGCGAAAGGAGAGGGAAGAAAAACGTGATCCTCCAGTGGACCCAGAGTATGCAAATCCAGGTAAACTCCTCTGAGTAAGTTAAAAAGTGGACGCTTCCCGTTCGCCATGACCACAGGCCCTGTCCTCTGTGGGGTCCGCCACGAAAAGCACGTGCTAGGAATCAGTTTCCTGTATTTCAAGCGCTCAGCCCTGCCGTCAGGAAGACCAGGTGTCCGGACCACATCTCCGGGATCCATTTACTTCTGCAAGTCATGATGCCTGTGACCTGCCACTTGAGAACAGGCTGTAACAGAATCTACAGCTGCACTACTCAGAAGGGAGTAGTCACTGTGCTGCGGGTCTGGCCAGCTAGCATTAGGTTTCCACCTGGGTGACTTTGGCTTTGCAGACCGACACAACACGGTCACTCTGAGCAGTGTAGATTCAACCCATTCTCCCAGCAACCACCAAGAGAACCGTGACACCAGTGTTAGTGGCTCCCAGTGGACAGCAGGACCCGAGTCATGATACTATCCTCCTGTCCCTCCTCTGAGGCCCCCAACCTGACAGCAGGGTACAGTAGGAATGACCTGGACATGGGTGGGCCAGGAGACTCATGTTCCAGTTTTGGCTGGATGTGGAATTATACTGTGAAGCTGAAAAAAAAAAAAAAGATATAAATGACCTCCTTCCCCTTCTCCTCCACCTCCATGTGCTGGCAGGAGGAGTACTGAAAATCTGCTCCTTCATCTCCCGCCATCCCAGCCTCCTCCCCAACAGAACTTCTGGGACCATGTAAGTGCAAAACCTCTACCTAATACTGTGTGACTGCACGTCTAAAGGGGGAAATCTAAGCCATTAGTATGTAAAAACATCCTCACAAATGTCTTATGAGGATGACACAGGAATCAGGCTCAAGAGTTGAAATCTACCCCTACTCATCCCACCCCACCCCCGGATCTTATAATATTCTACTATTCCTCTACAGACACACATACCCCACTTCTTAGCCAAACTATTAAGTTTTGGTTTTCTGTCAAGTTGCTGCTATTATTTTAATTTCTCTTCTTCCTTTCACTGTTAAACTTCAGAGGCAAATGGTGTATACTTTTTCTCTCGACCACTTCAGCAGTGTTCTCTGCTTAACCCCCCAAATCACCCGTTCTCACATTCTACTCAAATGGCACTTCTGAGAATCACCAGTGACCTCTGAATCCCAAAGAAAAGTCTTTGCTCAGTTTACATTGGTCTTGACTCTCAACACCCTGCCATCTACAGTCCCCCTCATATGGGATGCTGCTAACTGGACACCACTATCTGAAATTGCGTTTCTTCAGTTTCCGTGATGACTGTCTTCCTGGTTGCTTTTAACCCTTTCCGCACTCTTTTGTCCTCCACACATAAATCTTTAAAGCACAGCAAATGTCCATCCCTCATCAGCTGTAATGATAACAGTTTTTCTAACACTGACACCTGTCCTTTGACTTTTTCATTCTCCTCGATGGGTTAGTTTAAAAAAAAAAAAAAAATGCCCTGGCTGGTTTGGCTCAGCGGTTAGAACATCGGCCTGCGGTCCGGAGAGACCAGGGTTCAGTTCCCGCTAAGGGCATGTACCTTGGTTGCAGTTTGTCCCCGGCCCTGGTTGGTTGTGCGGGTGGCGACCACTTGATGTGTCCCTTTCACATCGATGTTTCTCTCTCTCTCTGTTCCTCTCTCTCCCTCCCACTCTATCTGAACAAAGAATGGAAAAATGTCCTCGAGTGAGGATGATTAAAAAAATAAATAAATAAATAAATAAATAAATAAATAAATAAATAAATAAAAAATAAATTTTTTTTTTTCTTTTATGGATTCCAGAGAGAGAGGAAGGAGAGGCAGAGAGAGATAGAAACAGTGATGAGAGAGAACATCAGTTGGTCACCTCCTGCATGTCCCCCACTGGGTACTGGGCTCACAACCTGGGCATGTGCCATGACCAGAATTGAACTGGAGACCTCTTGGTGCATGGGTCAATGTTCAACCACTGAGCCACACCGGACGGGCCTGGTTAGTTGTTTTTTTTAAAAAAAATCTTATTTGTTTCATTCCTTGACTGTCTCTAATCTGTTCTCTCTGTCCCCACCTGACCCAGGCTCTTATCTATTCATGCCTAATTGCTGCGAAATCCTATTATTCAGCCCTGGCCGGCTGGCTCAGCAATTGAGAGTATTGGCCTGGTGGACCAAAGAGTCGCAGGCTTGATTCCCGTCAAGGGCACGTACCTTGGTTGCGATTTGTCCCTGGCCCTGGTCGGGGTTGTGTGGGAGGCAACCAATCGATGTGTCTCTCTCTCTCTCTCTATCTCCCTCCCACACACATTCAATCTGAAAGATATTTGAGAAAATATCCTCGGGTGAGGATTAAAAAAATCCTATTATTCAGTTAGTCTGCCTCTGCTGAGCCCTAAACATTACTGCCAGATTAATTCAGCAAATTCCTCTTGCCTTAAGTTACTGCCCTTCTACAAACGTGCAATGACCCCTCACTACTCACAGGATAATTTCTAACTGAGTCTGGCAATCAAGCCCCACCCCCACCCCCGACCTGGCGGCACTCAACACATCTAAGCTTTTACTGTCACCTAACATCTACCACCCTCGGCACACACGGTCTACTCCAGACAAATCCGTGGGCTTGCACCCCATCTCTATCCAGGATGAGTCTCAACTCTAAGTCTTCCTCATTTTCAGTGAGCCTCAGAGAATCCAACTTGGTTTTCCCTGGATGTTGCACTTAACATCCCCACTAACGCTGTGATTCATGTTCCGAACAGAGCAACAGCTCATGTGTAACCCCCACAAAGCGCCTGCACTCTTCAGAGTTAAGTGGATCCTACTAGGAACTCTTACTCCACTCAAACCAGAGAGCATGGTACAGGCAGGGAGCTGCCAGCCAAGAAGTGAGGGTCCTCTGTGTTGGTAACATTGGTATCGGGAGGTTATTGCATTACAGAGGGTGGAGGAGGAAGAGCAGAGGGAAAGGAGGGTTTTTGTTCTGCTGGTCAGTGAAAGTACAAATAGAACCTGAGCATCATAGACTGAACTCATTCAATTCTTTGCAGGTAAGGAGCTCACCAGATAAATACCTCTGCTGGTTGTTTGAATTACAGACGAGTAAACTAATCTGTTTCTTTATTTTCAGCTTCTCTGAGGCAACTGTTCACAAGCACATCTTAGAAAATAAATTGTATCTCCCCGATACTCAGCTGGGGAATGAATGGCTGGGGAATGAATGGCTGTTAATTTCCTGTATTCTTAAAAGGGCATGAACCTGTTCACCTATTGAGACAGACGGTCAACAATCCTGACCTTTTGAGAGTAGTAGTCCCTAAGCTAATGCTAGGAACACATGGTTCTTGACCAGAGGATAAAAATTATTCATACTTTACACATCATGCTAAGACAATAGTCCTCAAGTCTCTAACCTTCTTGAAGACTCTCTTGAATTTCCATTCTCCTATTTTCATTTTCCCATCTCTTTTCCACCTTCTTTTATCTTGTAAAGTACTTTTGGACTCAACTCCGGTCTGGTCTCCTTTGCTGTGATTGGAGAATACAGTAGAGAAGGCTCACTGGCTGAGCTACAAAGAAATCGCTTACTCCCTCTCTCTTTGCTCCAGAACTGGGAACAGACTACTCCGTCCGCACTCCAGCCCTTGATGACTCTTACCAGTTTCAGTAATGCCTTTATTGTGTGTACTGTCAACATAGGCAAACTTCGACCTTAAAAAATGTGGTTTGTTCTATGTGATGGTTTGTAAAGTCAGTCACTGAAACGCTGATGGTCTTTTCCTAAAGAAACTATGTGATAAATGGTGACTTATTTATTATAAATGGGTAGGCCCCCGGGATAGCTCTCACTCCTAATTACCCATATCACTCCAGTAGTAAGAGAGAGATCCAAAATCTTTCTGTGTTCCTAGGAAGGAAGAAAAGATGGTTCCAGTTTCTTCTGTGCCTTTCCAGGAATCATCTGTATATACATATGCAACTATACATGTATATGTCTTCAATCCTTTCTCCCTTTGTTTCTTAATGTGAAAATTAGATACAATCAATACACACTATCCTGCACATTTCTGTTTTCCCTTAACAAGAGACCTTGGAGGTTGTTGCATATCAGTATAATAGATCAGCCATGTTTCTTTTATTTTATTTAAAAAAAATTTTTTTTTGGTACATACCCCTAGTGGGAACCGAACCTGGGACTCTCTGGTCCGGAGGCCGATGCTCCAACCACTGAGCCAAACCGGCTAGGGCTATGTTCTTTTTAATAGCTCTATAGATATAACAACTAATGTTTTAAAAAATTAAAATAATTTATGTTTATTCATAATAAACTGGATTATTAAGGTAAATTTAAAATTTCCTTTTTTCATTGTAAAAGCAGTAAATAAAACAACCACCACAGAACAAAAATCAATAAGTGAAAAAATTTATCTCCCATCCCATTAAAAGTATGTTGATGTAGTTCCTTTTTTTTTTCCTCAAAAATTGAAAAAAGTTTTTTTTTCCCCTTTTTCCTTTATTGACATTAGAAACAGAGAGGAAGGGAGAGGGAGAGAGAGAGAGAAACATCGATGAGAGAGAACATCGATTAGCCGCCTCCTGCATGCCCCTCACTGAGGATCAGGCCCAGAACCTGGGCATGTGCCCTGACCGGGAATCGAACCGGTGATCTCTTGGTGCATGGGTCGATGCTCAACCACTGAGCCACACCAGCTGGGTGAAAACAATTCTTTATATAACAAAAGCTCACAAATGATACCAACACTGCTGCTTTGTGGACCACAGTAGGGGAACAGGGGGGCTCACCCATATGGCCAATGAGGCAAAGATAAGAACGTCTGCTGCCCTGGCTGGTGTGGCTCAGTTGTTTGAGCACTGTCCTGTGACCAAAAGGTCACTGGTTCGATTCCTGGTCAGGGCACAGGGTCTCGGGCTCAATCCCCAGTAGGGGAGTATAGGAAGCAGCTAATCAATGTTTTTCTCTCCCTCTCTAAAAAGGCAATAAAAACATATTTTTAAAAATGTTTGCTGCAAAGTTGTACTAGCAAAACATTAGATAAAGCTTTAATACTATCTTGAGAAGAACTGATAAATTATAGCATATCTTACAACAGAAAATTATAGAGCAAGGGAAATTAATAAAATGGAGTTACATATATCAAATCAATATCATTAAGACTGCTAACCATAAAAACAAAGTTCCAGGATGTCGTATACAGTATAATCATATAATAAAAATTAAAACATGTAAAGTAATATTAAATATTGCTTAAGAATTTGCACATGTATTGTAAAAGTGTAAAATCATGCTGGAGAATGATAATACCAACGTCAGAACAGTTTTTTTCAAAAGGAACAGAGAACAGAAGTCAAAATATTACTATTTTGCAAAGATAGGATGGTGAGTCCACAGACATTTTTTACATTATTCATTACATATTTCAGAATACAAAAATGCTTACTCAACTTTAATTTCAAATATCTATGTGTTAAAATGAAATCATACTTGCAAAAGCTCTGGATAAAAGTCAAATCTGCTCTGAATATTAAGGTTTTTTAAAAACATTAAAACATATTTTCAATTACATTTTACATTCAATATTACTTTGTATTGGTTTCACAGCATAGTGGTTAGACAATCATGTACTTTACAAAGTACTCCCTCTGATATTTCCAGTACCCACCTGGCACCATATGTAGTTACTACAATACTACTGACTATATTTTACATCCCCATCACTACCAATCTGTACTTTTTAATCCCTTCATCTTTTTCATCCAGTCTCCCCTCCGACAACCATCAGCCTATTCTCTGTATCCATGAGTCTGTTTTTGTTTTTGTTCATTTATATTTTTCTTTAGATTGTACATGTAAATGAAATCATATGGTATTTGTCATTCTCTGACAGACTTATTTCACTAGCATAAAACCCTCTAGGTCCATCCATGCTGTTGCAAATGGTAAGATTTCATTCTTCTCCATGGACGAGTACCATTCCATTGTATACAAGAAGAACTGAGCTCCTGATCCATGCAAAAACATGACGAATCTCAACAGCACGCTGCTGAGTAGAAGTACAGCAGACTAGGCGCTGTATGGTTCCACCACGATTACATGTGGGAAAGCACAAAGCCATAGGGACGTATTTCAGATTGGTGGTTGCCAGGGACTGGGGACAGGGGGAAGGGATTAATGGTAAACGGACATGAGGGACTTTTTGGAGTGATGGAAATGTTCTATACTTTGATTGTGATATGGTTACATGACTATACATATGTCTAAACTACCTTAAAAGGGTACCATTTACTGTATGTAAATTAGACCTCAATCGACCTGTCCAAAACTGTTATCGAGAGTTCCTTGGACAAAAATAAATGGAGAATAGCTTAAAAGGTCAGATGCACATTTGTTTATTCTCAAAGACAGACCCAGCGAGCCCTTGGGGCAGGGCTGGTCTCTGAAAGCAAGTGGGAGGAAAGAGAAACTTAGGCAGCTAGAATGTCCTGACTCAGATGGCAGTTTCTGGCCATCTGCACAGATTCCTGAGATGCTCTCGTCTCCCTGAGTTAAAGAAGTTGAGGTAAATTATGTCACTTTCTGCTCTGTTCAGTCTGACCCACATTTGACCTCAAACCGCCCCAGAAAGTGCAAAGTGCTGACTGCTGACACTTTAGCGGTCCTATTACTGCTCTCAGTAATGTTTCGAGGGCTAGTCATTTAAGGAATATCCACGGAGAGTCGACTATCTGCTGGGCACTGACAGGGCAGCAAACAAGGTAGAAATCTCTGCTCTCTGGGAGCATATGTAACAACATCATTCTCAGGCCCCAAATTATATCAGTCTGTGTTTTTCTCCCCTCGCCACCCCATCCTCAAATGCCAGAAGAAAACAGTTTTTCCTTTCCACAGTCCCTCCTAACTTTGCACACTGCTCAAAAATGTAAATTTATGCAAAAGCAAAATGCTATTTTAGTCCTGATAGACTCACTCTCACGGAGTGATCTTCCTATAAAAACAAACATCTCATGCTGAGTTACACCTACAAATCTGAAAGACTGAGAACTAATCATTACAGTCACCAGATGTAATGAATATTTAAGCTAACTTCTTTTAAAACTACAGATCTCATTTAGGATGAGGAATATCTCTGCAGTTTTCTTACAGAGCTAAATCCGGAACCCCCAGGTGAAGGCTGCAGCTGCAGTTCTTTATCTTCCCCTACATCTCCCTCCAGCTCTAGTGCACATCTTCCCAGAAGACAGATAACAAGGACACATGCATAAGTATTCTGGTCCAGCTGACAAACTGCAGGAGGGTCAAACTGCAGGAGCACCGTGGGCAATGAGTACCAAGAATGAAGCTGGACAAGTCGCCAGAGGTGAACAGAGTCGAACTTGTGAATAGATGCCGTGTAAGCATCAAATCGTTTCATTTTTAGGGTGCCTGGGAATGGCAGGCATAATTGTGCTCATTTTACTGATGGAGAAATTGAAACTCCCAGGGTTTAAGCAGCTTGCCCAAGTCACATAGCTGATAAGGGGCAAAAGCAGAATTCAGATCTGGATTCAGTGCACAGAGCCTTTTTATTTGGTGTCCTTCATGGCCCATCAGTGCGGCACCTGCCCCCTGGAGAGGGGGCTATGTCTGCAGAGTCTGTTCATATTAAAATGAACTTTATAAGTAGCCTTCTTGAAATAGCAGGACACACCCCCACCCCCAATATGGGATGGTTAAAATATCAAAATATGGAAGCGACTTAGCTATGAGTTTTCTAGGGTGGCTGGTTTTGCTAGGTTTTCTAATAATAAACATGCACAAACTTTTATACAAAGGAAAATTCCCAAGAAGTTATTTTAATATTTTTAAAGTCCAGGTTAAGAGCACAGGTATTATGGAGCACTGTGCCCCACAGGCTGGAGAAGAGGCTACTAGGGTCCGTTAGCTTGGTTGATGACAGCACTTGGACACTGCCGGTACATTTAGAAAGATGTTGCACAAGCTTTGCTAAAGAGACCCTCCCCCAAACAGGTGAAAATGTACTACAGAGAGGGCAGTAAGTGCTAGAATTTTCTCCTCCTCCATGAATACTATGATAACTCTTTCCTCCTTTGCATGATAGTGTCGTGACAGGACGTCAAGAGTGATTCCTCCCCAGAGGGGTGAGATGCCACAACGCTACGAAGGAATAACTGCCACCACATAACATACAATTCGCAATGACTTCTGTGTAGAGGAGGTGGGAAGCATTCCACAGAGAACATGACCGGGCTGGATATGAAGAAGGAGTCAGATTTTTGCCAGATGGAGAAGAAAATAAAGAGAAGATCATTTAAAGGCCCAGGAGCGCAAGTGCAAGCTTGTGTGTCTCTGAAGTCCACAAAGCAACACTGCAAGAGGAAGCTGTGCTCTAAGACCTGGCCTGAAACAGTTCTCTACCTGTCATCACTAAGCGAATTCAGAATTCAGCCAGAATCCTCACAGAGCTGATTGGTGGCCGTGCCAGCTCAGTGACATCACCCTGGTGGATGTG